AGAGTAGGATAATGCTAGCGCGATGCGGACGTTGGTACGAGTAGGTTACTCTTCAAACGTCGCCTAAAGTAATTGATTTTACCCGGCAGAACGAAAGAAGGAAACTCCGCTTTTCAGTTGTCTTAGCCACTCGTTTTTTGACAAACAATGACCTTTCAGAGGTCAAATTGCTGTCAAGAATATGAATTGGCTGCTTCGCAGCAATTATTCTATTTTTGTGCTTAAAAATAGTAACAGTATTTCAGATATTGATTTTTATTGCTCAACACAGACTGTATTCTATAATTAGTAATGTAATTGTTAACCGAGAATTCAAAATATATTATTGAAAAATAAATTAGTATATAATTAATAAATTAAGTCATACTATTGATGCACCAAAATTATATCTGATTCAGGATATACAGTACTATATAGTAAAATGGCTGACTTAAAAGTGTTTTTATTAATTTCTAACATTGTTTTAATTATCATATATTTTATTACATTTTGATTGAACCTGTTAGTTGCCATTTTTATCGCTGTTGGTTTTGAATGGAATAAAATAAAAAGCATGGCATATCTAGGAGTCTTGAAATGGGGAGGGGAGGGGGGCGTGATGGTGAAGTGGGAGGATTCGATGACTAAGTGAGGTGGGTGTAAGTTTGCAAAAAGTGGTGATATGAGGTGAGTTTTATCTACTTGAGCATGATTTTTTTTTCTTCAAACATTTTCAATTAGGGGTGTGGCAACGGGGGAGGGGGGTGTGCAAGTTTTTTTTTGGAAATTGCGTGCACCCCACGCCCACCCCTAGATACGCCACTGCTGAAAGGAACACATTTAAAGAATTACCATTTACAGTTAGGATCTCAATTCATACCATAAAATATTGAAGAACGAACAAATAAGCTACTCATTCAGAATTTTTTGCCAGTGGAGGTTTGTTTTATTTTATAATTTATCCACAATGCAATTCAGTATTATGGTAAAAAATAACCAAATAAGACACTTAATGCTTATAAGTCAGAGGCGGATCCAGAGATGTCCAAAAGGTGGGGGGGGGCGAAAGTTGGGCCAATCGAGACAACACTATCCTGGGGGGTCGGGGGCCTGCCTCCGCAAAATTTTTGTGTTCTAGATGCCCAAAAATAACATTTGAGGTGTTCTGGGCTATCATTTTTTCCTTTTTCTTTCTTTTTTTCTTTTTTTTTACCTCCCAAAAGGGGAAGGGGGGCCGGAGCCGGCCCCCCCCCCCTCCTAAACCCGCCCCTGTAAGTTTATAATGAATAAAAAGTGGAGCCGCGTAAGTCTGTTATAGAACAGTATAAAATGAATGACAGCAGCACTTTTGAGGCTAACAATATAGAATTTATTCTGTACTTCTGACTTCATCAGGAGACTACAAATTAGTTTATATGAAAATAAGTACAGGCTCAAGCACAAACAAATACATTTTTATTCTCAGATTTTACAACACTGCAGTTGCTATGGAGAAAAGCGAGTCAATTTATCATTCAATAAAGATTTACTGTTAGTCCTTAAGTACCTGATGAAAATGTTGGTCATTATTCTCTTCAAAATAAAGGTTTTCTTTAAGCGATCGTTTATATATACTCGTATATTTTATGCCAGTCTTAATGTGTATTCATACCAAATTTGAAGTGTTGTCAAATTTGAAAGATAACTTTCCTCATTCTTTAGAGAAAATTTAACGAAAGGCAGTAATCTATTTAAATTTAAATTTTCATGACAGATGACAGAAATATCGCAGAAACAAGCTTCATGTATTTGGTCATGATAAAAATAACCAACAAATAGATTTAAATTAATATCAATTACTATTTTATTTTTTGAAATAGAAAATTATTGACTGGTTTTTTTTTTTAAAGACTTTCACTTCAGTTTAACAATGAGAATAAAAAATAGTAGATATAAGGTTTTGGGCATACGTAATGAATGAATTTATTCATCTATCCAGAGTTGAGTTGAATAGCTTAGTGGTTAAGATGGTTGCCTTCCTGTCCAAGGTTCCTGGGTTCAATTCCTGTCACAGTAACAGGATTGTTTTCTCACAACCAAAACAACTCCACTCCAAGCCTAATAATGAGACATAGTTTATTAGTAGAACATCTTGTGTTTATAATACAGGTTGTCTTGTGAAGGGATATATTAGAAAAGTGATTGAAGTTCACTGTTTGGCGTATTCTTGATCATGAGGCCAAAACAATTAGGAAAAAAAAATCCATTCATCCATCCACCTATTCGTCCATTTCTTTTACCATTCATTCATTGATTTGTCCATGAATTAAAACTTATATTCAGTTATAGAAGCAGTGATTATTATATTTTGAAGTATCCAAAGTCTTTTTATTAATATAATTTTATTTTCTTTGTTGGAACTATCATAATTGTAAATTACAATATCACAAATGATTGCTGCTGTAGACATAAATAAAATGTCCATTAAAAATCACAACATTTAATGATCACAACGATTTAGACAGTGTGATATTCTATCATGAAATGCATACTTGTTAAGAAATACGATGATACTCTGTTAATTGTGAGACATTGATATTATTGTTTTTAATTTACTGAACCAAATGTGCGGAAGAACTGCATAGACACATTGAATTTGCCGTTTCTTATTTTCCTGCTTCAATAGATTCTCACATCATCTGTATCCAACCCTCGGAGTAGAAAATCAATATCAGTCGTTCAGACGCACAACGCTACATTTCACACAAATTAACAGCAATGACAATACAGAGGTCACGAATGAAGTTTACATAAAAAGTATAGAAAAGACACAGTTTTCAATAGCAACCACGACTGTTTATGCACTGTTCTCATGGTTACTGGAAAAATAAAATTGACATTTTCTATGTTCTTTTTGTAGTGCAGTAATAATTTTTTTTATAAGATACTATTTCAAGTTTAAGTTTATCTATGGAGATCCAGATCTACTCAGGATTGCTCTTCCCCATGTTATGCATATAAATCCAAATACAATATTGCAAAAGTAATCATAGATATAAATTATTAATAATATAAATATATTATCAAGATTATACAAAACTTTACTATTTAGTTGTTGGACTTCCAAAAGGAGAATGTTACCATCGGCTTATTCGACCTGTTCGTCGGTCATCTTCTTTAAGTAGGATTTTACCAATTTGTGCATGTGGGCGTGGTTTAACGAAGAACGACCAGTCGAATACGGCCTGTGACGACATGCAGCTATGGCCTTTTAACACACACTCTCCATTTAAATGGAATCACTCAAAACCCACTGTAAATGCAAACAGAGCCACAATCTCAAACGCACAAATAGATTCCTAGCTATTAGAAAACCATTTTTTACTTGATTTTCAGTAGAAACACACCCCATGAGAAAATGACCTTGATTTGTTTAGCTGCTTGTAACATTGGTAGGTACGAATGCGGGAACAACATGTGTCGGAATTAGAGTATAGACATCAGCCTTCTATAGGACACAACTGTAGGGACATTTGCTAAACATGGTTGAAATACTACTGTAGGAGAAAAATTACCCAACCACTGAATCAAGCATTTTTAGTGATCATTCAATGAACTTATTGAATTTTTGTATAAAATCTTATGTTACCAATGGTTACATGTAATTTATAGAGGATGGTTTGTCATTGTCATTGGGATCAATTTTATACAATTCCATTATCTGTTTATTTAAGCTCTATATTGATTTATAATTGATTGGCATAACAAGTGGAGTGTACTGTATGTATCTAGACTTCAGTCGCAATATATTTAAAAGTCCTGCATAACACCACATCATCAACTGATGATCTTGGTAGATTCATTTTTTAAGAAGAGTTAGTTGGAAATGTCAGCCATAATTTACCCATGATTCAATGTACTTTAGCTCATCGAACATTCTGTTGAATTGTGGGATTGTATCAGAGGTAATATCCATTCATTAGGATCAAATAGAATACAGTAGTTCAGTTTTATAGATTGGCAGATAACAAATTAATGTTGTTAATTATATGTGATCATATTTCATATTCAGATTAATTTATTGATTTTTGGTTATCATAGTTTAACTCATACTTGCCCTATTTAATCTTTTGATAGTGTCACACATTTTGGTTTCAAATTTTTAAACGTAATATTTTTATGTTAGAACTTTTATTGTTGTATAATATATAGTAAATGTAATTACGTAATCAACATATATATATATATATATATATATGCATCTGTATGACAATGAATTTATTATATTAAATATTGTTCTGTAGAAGTGGTTTGGCGCAGTTGGTAGTACTTGGTTTACCAACCTCAAAGTTGGGGTTTCAGTCCCTCGCTCTGCATTTTTCGTGGGACCTTGAGAAAGACACTTTCCCTACATTGCTTCTTGCCACCCAGGCGTATAAATAGGTACCTGGTTGGGTTGATTACCTACAGCAGCAACACTTATGCATGTGGACCCAATGATCTGGAGACAAGCGCTTCATATCTAAGAAAAACTTGGATTGGATTGGATTGGATTGGATTTATTCGGTGTAAACACCAAGGATAGCCCACGCAAGTCTAGAAGAAGACTTATTTCCAGTGGGGTCCTTCTGGTGGTGATTGGACAGTACACCGGGAGACAATCCTCTACTCTTTTCCGAAGAGTGTACTGCCTTCTTTAGCGTGCACATGGACCATAAATGCACACAGGACCAACGGCTTAAACGTCTCATCCGAAAGACGGTGCGCTACGTATTGTAACTTGTATTTCAGCCCTCTAGCTGAAACACAAGGAGAGGCAGCGATGGGAATTGAACCAGGGACCTAGAGATCTCCACGGTTCAGTGCACACAACTTTAGGTCCTATATAAGATTAATATACAATATATTAATAAAATAATCTCAAGTGTGTTTGATTAGATCTTGTCTGATGAAGCCATATCTGATCAGACAAACAGTGTGTCACAAAGCTTTTATCTTCCTGTTATAATCTATTGTTCAATTACCTTTTATTAAATTTTCAGATTAAGCATATCATTCATATTATAAATATATGGATGGACATTATGTAAACATTAGAAAAAGAAACAGAATCTGAAACATCATCATTTCAAGATGGCTGCCACTTTGGATCTACAAAGAAATCTCCAGAAATTTCAGCGGAAAGCACACTCGCTGCTAACTGATCTGGAACGCGACTATCTGCATGATATTCTACGTCAGTACCACAGGTACAAAGATGTCGAAAAGCTTATGGTCTGCCTGCAGAGTGCCCTTGATACGCCAAGAAAGAAAGACCTGTTTAAGGAAATTCGTTCTCTAATCCCGCACTCACACTTGCCACAGTTTGATGAGCTTGCACCGTACTCGGAGATGGCTCATCCGTACTCACCAGAGCGAAGGAGAAAAAGAGAACCAAGATCTGCGTTAAATGCAGATGCCTCAGTGCCTTGGACAGGTAAGGATTACTAATGTTTTGGATGGGATTATAAGCTTGGATTCATGTTTGTGAGTTTAATCTACAAGTGACAATAACATAAACAGTTTTTTTTCCCTTGATGTAGTCTTTAATATAATTGCAAACAAAAATATAAAAATTGTAGGCATCATTTATGTTTTGTATTTTGTAGAAGAGAATAGTCGGTATGGCTTCTGTACCTCATTCTTAAATAATACACAAGTTCTTGTAATCTCAAAAGCTTCCATGAGGGCAGTATAATAGAGGAAGTAGAGCTAAAAAACATCTATTAATCAATGAACTATTAATCAATCAAGTGTTTCTATAGCTCCTCATGAGGGCAGTATAATAGAGGTAGTAGAACTAAAGAAAAAACTATTAATCAATCAAGCCAAGTGTTTCTAGAGTTCCTCATCGGAGCTAAAAATGTTAATAACATTTATTTACGGTAATAATTTACCGGTAATAGTAAAAATAATCATTAAAATATTAAAAATCATTTCATTTTCAGTGATTGATATACAGTACCCATTTTTACCGAAGTTACTATGGATTGAAAATATTTTAAAAGATTAATATGAAAAATGAATGATTTATATTTTTAATATAAATAAATATTTTTATTTCCATATTATTAAGTAGATATAATACAGTATTATGAACCAAACACACCATAAAGTACATGTGTTTTTATAGTACTGATGTTCACACGATTACCATTCACATTTTAACAATTACAATATCTCCGGTCTACTGACCTCTATACCAATCCCTTTGTTTTCCACCATCACTACCTAACATCTGGTGATTTTCCCCACTAACCAACCTTGTCACATGACCCCACTATCCAAGCTGCCAGGAATCAATGTTATATTGTATGCATAACACGGTAGTTGTGTCATACAGTGTTGTACATCAATCTTCGCTACTCACTACCGTAGCACAGTATCAATATGATATCGTGTGGATACGCTCTATGGTAGCGAGTGACCTATGTCAGTGTACATTCAGACCTGTGCTAGTTGAGCCATGGCTAGGATTTATACGAATGTTCGCACAAGTTTATTTGTTACTCCACGGAGATATTCAACAGGTTGGTTGCTTGTGTTTTTGGACTACAGTACTTTTGAAAAACTCTGACAAAAATAAGAATTGTACGTTATTGTTGTTTGAATGAAGTGCACTGATTTGACACAGTATTTCAATAGTAGTATATGTGAAGCTTTTGTTGCTCTATAAATGCTCTGAATAGAGCAGTTTACTGCAATGCACAATTGTTGTTATAGTAATGTAAACTGAAATTTTGTGTTGTCAGGGCCATTTGGTTTACTGTTAGGATATTTTATAGTTTCATTCCATTTCTTGTGTTCATTTTGTGTAAAGCGCTTAGAAGCATTGTTTTTACATATTAAGTGCTCTATGAGACTAACATTATTATTATTATTATTATTATTTGCATTGATATAAAGAATTACACTACTGTATATTCAGTAAATATACTGTGCAAAGGGTAATATCATAGGAACAAAACATAGTATTATTATTTATATAGTATACTTTACAGTTTAGTCATTTGCTATCAAAATAGTATTTTGTGCTATTATTTCCTGTTTCTCCATTATGCTTGGAGAGCCACTCTGATTACACAGCTGGCTGTCGTGGGTAAACAGAGTATAATTGTCTTTTATCTTAAATAAAATAAATAAATAAAATATAAAATAAGGGGGTTTTGTAGGGACTGATATTGATGTTGAGTATATATATTATATTATAACTTTATTCATGGGAACTGACACTGTCCATATTGGAAATTTGGCAAAAAACTGAAAGAATTCTTAGGAATTAAATACCTGAAGGTACAGTAAAATTTGGAAAACTTTCAAACATTCAGTTGAAACTTTATATTGCTAATTAAAAGGTCAGTTCCCTATAAAACTAATTATTTTTCACTTTTAATTAAAAACATATATATAATTACTTCTACTGATTAAAGAATATAAGAATGGTATAATGTATGTTAAATTAGAAGGGAAATCATTTCTCTTTCCAGTTTTTAATTGGGAGTCATACTTACCTAAAGAACAATTTTAAATATTGAATTGAATTTTTATTATTTTTTTTTAAGTTACTCATCTCAAATTGGAGATCTTTAATCATTTTATAATATATCCGCATCCAGTGATGATAATTTACCAGTCTTTCGATTTTCTGTTATTTCTACTATTAAAAATTAGAGGAGGCGAATCATCCATAATTTTAAATTTTTCATACCAGTATGTATAAGTACAAAACATGCTCTTTTCTGTTACCCTTCCCTCCCACTGAAAGAATACACAACACATGTTGAGTTGAATCAATTTGAGGTTATCATTTTATCTTTTCCTTAAAAGAGCACTTATGCCTACACTTTCA